ACACCCCCCGACTGTCCGCACTGCCTTCCGCGAAATGCAGGTGCTGGCGGTGCTGGCGTACGCTCACGAAAACGACGTGGAGCCGTTCCTGGAGCCAGCCCTGCGGCTGTGCGCCTCTCTGATGAACGACGTCGGTGGGTGCCTGCTGCTGCTGCCGCCGCTGTGCGTGTGGTGGGTGTGCTGGGGTGGGGAGGCGGGCTGTGCGCCTCGCTCAACAACAGTCAGTGGGTGGATGGTGGGAGGTGCTGCCGCTGCTGGCGGTGGTGGCGGCGTCTGTTTTTTCTGCATGCTCCGGGTGCAGTGGTGCCGCGTTGAGAAGCCGCTTGACAAGTTGCCCATCCCTGCTCCGCCGCGCCCCCATTCCGGCACTGCTCCCTGCCGCGCTCACCCCCACTGCCTATGTGCTCGCCGCGCGCCCCGCCTGCTGCGCCATGCAGGCCCCTCCGAGTCGCAAAAGGTCATCGCCTCACTGCACGTGCTGCTGGAGCTGGCCGCCGGGCCCGACCCCGACGCCGCGCTTTCGGCGGCGCACTGCCTGCTCAAGGCCGCCCACCTGCACCCCGGGGACGCAGCGGCGGTGCTGGCCACAGGGGACAACGTGGCGCTGCTGATTGAGCTGATGGGACCTCGGGGAGCGGCAGGCAGCGGCGCAGCAGCAGCAGCGGCAGGAGGAGCAGGAGGAGGAAGTGGAGGAGGAGGCGGGGAGCAGCAGGAGGGCTGGCCGCAGCAGCAGCAGCCACCGCCGCAGCTGGCGGCTTTCCAAGCCGACCTCGCGCCGCTGCTGCTGCTGGTGCTGGCGGCGGTGGTGGAGGCGCGGCCCGGGCTGCTGCGGGAGCACGGCGCCGCTCTGCGGCCCGCGGTCACTGCCTGCCTGCAGGCCGTTGGGGACGCGGGGCTGAAGCGGCGCTGGGCGCGGCTGCTGGCCGCACAGGGCGGATGAGCGCCCGGCTGGCCGCTGCCGGCTGGCGGCGACCCTCGGGAGATGCACCATCGCCACCGGTTTCAATGCCCCTTTCTTTTCTTCTCCGTGTTTGCACCCCCTTTGCAACGTAACATATGTTTTGCAGTGAGAGCAGTCAAATGTTTTCGGCAGTGCTGCGGTGCCGGCAAGTGCTTCAACCTCGTTTTCAACTCGGGCTGCCTCTCACTCTCATAGCACCCGGCCGGCAGCTCAGCGGCCGTCCGCCGCACCGGTGCCGTGCGGCGGCGACAGCACGTCGTACCACACGGCCGGCAGCGGCGGCGCCTTGCCCGCGGAGGCCACCGCCGCCTCCAGCACCGCCGCCGCGTGCAGCAGGCTGGCCTCGTGCCAGCAGGGCGCCATCAGCTGCAGCGCCACCGGCAGCAGCGGGGGCGAGGCGCCGCCGCCGTCAACGGCACCGGCGCCGGGTGCGGGGGTGGAAGGAGCTGGCGGGTGTGTGCTGGGCACCACGCCCACAGGCACGCTGATGGCCGGCAGGCCGATAAAGTTGGGGGCCAGCATGTAGTGCATGAGGGCGGTGGTGGTGGTGAGATCTGCAGGTGGGGGCGGGAGCCGCAGGTAGAGGCGCAGCTGGTGGGCGGCCGGGTCTGTTTTGTTGTGTCCCAAGCAAGCAGGCCTTGGAACGGCTGGGAAGGGGAGCAGGAAGAGGGGTCATGCAGGGGGCAGGCGCCTGCCCCTGCGAGCATGCGGTGGCGGTGCGAGGCCCCATGCGCCACGTGGGTGCCCCCCACCCCGCCGCCATCGCCACCATGCGCAGGCGCCGGCCGCACCTGTCTCGCCGCACTGCAGCGCGGCGGGCTTGATGGGGGGCGCGGTGCAGGGCAGCGTGGGGGTGAGTATGAGGTCGCACCGGGCAAAGGCACTCCTGCAGGGGCGCGTGTGGGGAGTGGGGACTGAGGGAGAAGCCTTCACCGGCGAGGCTGGTCGCACAAAATCTGGCGGCCTGGCGACGCTGGGCGCGGCGCCTCGCCCGCGGTCGAGGGTGTCTCAGCACTGGCAGCGGCCCCCCACCCACCACACACACCACCACAACAACAACAACCACACACGCGCCACACACACAAACCACACACACACACACCACACACGCACACACCACACCACACACGCACACGCGCACACGCACACACGCATGCATGCACACACACCTGAAGTGCGCCTCCACCCGGGTTCGAATCTTTTGGGCCTGGATGTAGTGCGCCGCCTGGAAGCCCGCCGCCACCGCCAGGCTGATCCGCGTCTCGGCGTTCATGCGCCGCCGCGCGCCACCGTCGCTCAGGGCGGCTGCGGGGCAGCGGGGGAAGGGGCCAGGGGCCGGGAAGGGGCCCAGGGGTGGGCAGACGACAGCGTGCAGAGAGAGCGAGAGAGTGAGCAAGCGAGCGAGGGAGCCAGGTGAGGCGGGGGCCGCATACCCAGCCGCGGCGGCCGCGCGGTAGTGGACAACAGCCAGCGAGCCGCAGACCCTGTTCCCAATGCTGGCTGCGGCTTGCTGCAGCCAGGGCCCTTGGCGCCAGCTCCCCCCACCCCAGCCCGCACGGGGCGGCCACCCCTCACCCGCCATGTTGTTGCGCATTTCGCTGGCGATGGTGCAGGAGTGCGCGGCGCGCAGCAGGCCCAGCTCTGGGAGGCGGAGGGGCACCACCGCCAGGCCCGCGCCCTCCAGCATCGCCACCGCCGAGCGGCAGGCCTCCGCCACCGCCGACGCGGCGTCCTCAAACCACTGCGGAGGGGAGGCGGGTGAGGTGTGGGTGTGTGCTGGGGTCGAGTGGTGTGTGGGGACGCTGGTAAGGCAGCGTGGGTGTGCCGGGGTTGGGTGGTGTGTGATGTAGGGGGAGGGTGCACGTGTGTGCGAGGGGTGCGTGTGTGGTGGTGAGGACCGCCCAGGTGGGCTACCGCGAGCGGGCGAGAAGAGGGGCAGCAAGCCAGGGTGCAGCGGGCTGTTCGAGTGGAGGCCTGCCCCGGTGCCAGCGGCGACAGGCCAGCAGAAGCGTGGCGTGGCGGCGCTGGCACCTGCAAGCGAAGCATTAACTCGCGCTCCCCGCAGCCCCGGCTTGCTGCCCACCTTCCCTCCCGCAGGACCACCGGCCCTGCCACTGCCACCAGCCTTGCGCCGTGCCCGGCCACCGCCACCTGCCTTTTGCCTTGCCTTGCCCTGCCACCGCCACCTGCCCGTAAAGAGCCCTGCCCGTCGCCGCCGCCACCACCACCACCATCACCACACACCACACCACACTCCCCACAACCCCACCTCCCAACAGACCCCTGCCGTCTTGCCAGCCAGCGGCCGGCGGCCGCCGCCGCCCAGCGCCGCCGGCAGCAGCACCGGCGGGGGCGCCTCGCCCGGTCGCTGCCCCGTGTTGGCGGCCACCGCATACATCAGGGCACAGTCCTGCGCGGCAGGGGGGCGACAGCAAGGCGAGGGTGGAGCCAGCACAGGGCAAGGCGCAGGGGCAAGGTGCAGCAGGATCACTGCTTCTGGCAGCGTTGAGCAAGCGCTGCGAGCTGGAAATAACAAGCTGAGGCCGCAAGCTGCAACATCTCAGTGCGCTCCCGGCGCACCTGCACGCTCGCCGCTAGTGGCCCAACCACCGACACAGTTTGGTCAATGGGAGGGGTGCCCTGCAGGCAGGCAGGCAGGCAGGTGGTAGGAGCATGGCCGCGCATCCCGGACCAACACAAACTAAACAAGTGCCTGGCGCACAACCGCTGCGCACCGGGAGGAGCGGCAGCAGCAGCAGCGCAGCTGTGCTCAGCCCCTGGCCATGCAGTATGTGTTTGCATGCGCCAAGCCCAGATGGATGCGCACACGCGGGCACCCTAAACCCGAATCGATGTGCAGCCTGACCCGCCCCGCCACCCCCTCACCACGGCAGTGCCCACTCGCTCGTGCGTGGGCTTGAGCCCCACCACGCCGCAGGCCGCCGCGGGGATGCGGATGCTGCCGCCGCCGTCGCTGCCTGGAAGGCGGCGCCAGGCAGCGTGCGGTTGCTGCCAAGCGACAAGCGGTGCATGGCAGCGCTCAGCTGGCAGCTGACTAGTCATCCCGTGCTTCACTGGCACAAAGGAAAGGGGACTCCGGGGGTCGGCAGCCACTCACCAACCGCAAAGGGGCAGAGCCCCGCCGCCACCAGCGCCGCGCTGCCGCTGCTGCTGCCGCCGGTGTGGTGGGCGGGGCTGTGCGGGTTGCGCGGCGTGCCGGTGAGGATGTTCAGCCCGGTTGTGCCCAGGCCTGCAGGCAGGCAGTGATGTTGTGTGTTGGGGTGCTGCTCGGAATGCCGAAGAAAGGGAGGGACCACACATGCATGGGAACACACATGCATGCACACAAACTGGCCATGCACAATACACACACACACACACACACACCACACCACACCACACCATATATAGACAACAAAACAACCACACCACAACAGGCACCCCTCCGCCCCCCACACCCACCCACCTATCTCGTGCAGGTTGGCCTTGCCAATGAGCAGCGCCCCAGCATCCAGCAGCGCCTGCACCCCCGCCAGGCTCCGCACAGGCGTGCGCCTGCAGGCGGGCAGAAGGACGGCAGCTGTCAGGGAGGGCCGCAGCTTCCTTGCAGCTGTCAAACAGACCATTCAGGCAGCTGCTTCCTGGCAGATGCCCACATGGCTCGCCTCCCTGCCGCGGCCGCCAGCGTGCATGCCAGCGCAGGCAGGCGCCCGCCACTGCCCGGTCCGGGAGCCAAGCGCGGCAGCTGCAACCGCAGAGAGCGTGCCGCAGCTCACCATTCAGCCATGAATCCTGTACCGGTGGTTGTGGGGTAGGGCAGCGCATCACACCCATCCTTGACTGCAGGCTCAATCAGGCGCGCGTGGCAGAGGGCGGCACGGCTCGTCGGCAGGCAGGCCGCAAGCTCGACATGCAGCAACAATCGTCGTGGACGGCAGGGCGGGGCAGGGCGGGGCAGGACAGGGCAGGGAGCGAAGCCCAGGCTCTGCAGCCGTCTGCTCCTTGGCCGGGGCAGAGGAAAGCTCGAGGCGCCGACGAGCGCAGCCCGACAAGGACAAGCCGCACCCGCATACGGCACGCCGTCCAGTGGTGACAGCGGTCGGCCCTGCTGCCACCGCGCCGTGCTGGCGGCCGCCTGCTGGCGCAGCCGCTGCGGCTCGTGGGCGACGAGGAAGCGCATGGGTGGGGACTGCCCAGGATGGCAGGCAGGGCACGGAGGGGCAGCTGTTGGCGGCGAGGAGGCCAGTAGGGATGAACATGACACGACGCGGCACCCCCAGCCTGCCACCCCACAGTCAGGACTATCAGGCCACACATAACAGGCCTGCACATGCACACAAAGACACGCAGCGGCTGCCGGCGCTTGCCACGCCCACCCACCATCGCCTCGCTGGCCGCCACCGCTGCGATGATGTTCTCAGCGACGTCAGAAGGCGTGCAGGCGCCGGTGGCATAGGCACGGTGGAAGTCCGCCGCCGTGTACGGCCGCTTCCCGCCGCCGCTGGTGCCGCCGCCGCTGGTGCCGTCGACAGGGCCGTCTGCGGCTGCCGCTGCTGCTGCAGCTGCAAAGCCCGGCAGCAGCGCGGCGGCGGCAGTGGCACGGTCGGCTGCTGGCTGGTCCTGCATATGCCAGGCGTGATGCACGAAATGCAGCGTGAGCGTGGCGCCAGCAGTCCATCACGTCACATCGCCGTCTAGCACCCAGCTGGGCATGCCGGTGCATGCTGTGTGTGCTGTGGAGCCATTGTGGCCGCCCCACCCCCAGCGCAGCCGCCGACCTGGCTGCCCGCGGGGACCAGCGCGGTGCCGCCGCCCTCGGCAGGCCAGCCCGCGGTGTTGGGGCGGAAGGTGGGCCTCTCCGGGATGAAGAGCTCCTCCAGGATCTGCAAGGCAGCCGGATGAAGATGACGCGAGGTTCAGAGGGAGCAGCAGCAGCGATGCAACATGGGGAGGGGCGTGGGAGAGGAGCGGGCAGCATGCAGCAGCCCTAGGGGCTGCAACCTGTTCGCCTGAGGCATCTTGTTGCTGCGCAGCAGCTGGGTGCGCACGGGGCCGAAAAAGGGGCCCTCGGCCAGGGCCAGGAAGATCTTGAGGGCTGCCCCTGCGAGCAGCACAAAAGGAGAGGAGGGCATGGAGGCGGCGGCGACGGGCGGGGCTGTGCAGCTGCCTACACCCTTACGCACTGCCCTCTCTGCGGCTCGCTCTGACCCAAGAGGGCGATAGATAGCCCGGCAGACCTGTCACGGTGGGCGCCACCAGCGTCTGCAGCGGGAATGGTTCGTCGTAGCCATCCTCTGTCGCCTCATCGACTGGGGGCAGGGACTTGATCCCTCCTGCCCTGCTGAACATTGGCAGCGACTGGAAGACGCCGCCCGACACCCTCGTGTTCCTCCAGGAGAGAGGTTGTTGCGTGAGCAGTGGCGGCACGCTTATCAAAGCCAGCCCAAACCCTTGTTGATGACGAAGACGAAGCAACAGCGCTGGGGAGGTTGGACGGCAGCGGCGGCGTCAGCGGCACAGCGTCCACATAAAAGTAAGCTGTGCTGCTGGCGTTATCTGGTTCCGTGTATCAACCCTCGTCGCTCATTTGATTTCAACAGCATACATTGATCCACAGCCAGACACACGGATCACACCAGCAGCAAGGGGTCGGCCAGGAATGGCGGAGGGCAAGTGGCGACGGGCGCCCCAGCCAGGCCGCCCCACTCCTGCCAGCTGCCGTCGTACACCGCGGTAGCCGCGCCGCCGCCGTCTGGCGCCGCCAGCCTTGCCGCCAGGACCACAGCGCTCGCCATGATGCCGGTGGCGCAGTCTGTCGGGCAGGTCGGGTGCAAAGGAGGGGGGCAGCGGAAGGGGCTGGTCCAGAGGAGAGGGAAACGCTAAGCGCGCACCGGAGGATGCTGGGATCATGATCGTGGGCGGAGCAGAGCAGGCGGTGTGCGCTGCCGACCACGGCGACAGGCCATCGCACAGCAGCATGAGAAATGCAGGCCCTAGACTCCTCACATGCCACCAGCGGCCGGCTGAGGTCGACGTCAGCGCTGCCAAACACGGCGCGCAGCTCTTCAGGGGAGCGGAACTTTCCACCCCGCAGCAGGCCCTGGACTGGCAGGTTGAGGGCCCCCGGGATGTGGCCCGCTCGCAGGCCGCCGCCCTCCGGCATGTCGCCACGATACCTGCAGGCAGGCAGGCAGGCCTGTCGGTGGCAAGCTGCTGGCCTCTGCCGACCACCTGCATTGGTGGAGGCCAGCGGGCGTACACCAAAAGCGGGCGCCGCAACGAGGGAGCCCAGGAAGCCCTGCAGCGCTCCTGCAGGGCGGCTGCAGAGTCGCACGCGCTGGCTGGCCTTTCCATGCGCGAGCAAACGACCCGCGAGCAGCACTATTAGGGCCCCGGGGGCGCTCACTTTGCAGAGGGCCGGGCATCCACGACCTGCTCCTCCCGGCTCTCCACGTTTGCCAGCATGGCCCGCCAGTCGCGCACCTCCCCCGCCCGCAGGTGCGCACGGTACCGAGGCCTGCGCAAGGGGGCGCGCCGCATGGAGTCCGCGGGTGCCGCCACCAGCTGCGCGCTCACGGGCGATGTGTCCACCTCGCCGCGCGCAGCTTTCCAGCCTGCAAGGCCGCCGTCCAGCACCGCCACCCTGCGGCAGGGAAGGGGAGCAGGGCAGCGCGGTGGAGCGCAGGAGGCGAGCCTGGCCCGGAGCTGTGCCGCGCTGCAGAGCGCCCGGCGTGGCTGTCGCGGCGCTCCGGCGCAGCGATTGCCTCACCTCCTGTGCCCGAGCACGTGCCATGTCCACCAGGCGCGAGGCGCTGTGAGAAGCCCACCGTGGTCGTACACCACCACCACGCTGGCGGGAGTCACGCGCAGCGCGTCGGCGGCGGCATCAAAGGCAGCGGTGCCGGGCAGCATGCTCTGCAACCCGGTGCTTGTGTCGGCGATGAGGTCCAGGTCGAAGAAGCGGGCGCCAGGGATACGCTCGCGCTGGAAGTCGGCCGCGCCCTGGCCTGCCGCCAGAAAGGGTTAGCGCATGGGGCTCGCCAGTGGGTGGTTTGCCGTTACGGTGGCTGGACAGGCAACAGTGCATTCACACGCTCGTACGCCGGCAGTCCCTGCCGGAGTGGCAACCGGATGCTGCAGCTGTGCGACCAGGCACCTGGCGCCTGGCACTCGGGCAGCGTGGGCGCCCTGCCCGCCCCACCGAAGAGCACCCACCTGGAGACCCTAAGTGCCAGGCCGCGTCCAGCAGCTTCACCTCCCCCAGGTTCTGCTTGAGCAACTCTGGGCTGACCAGCAGAGGGAACTCTGGTGCTGGCTGGGCCGCAGTCGCGGCAGCAGCTGCGAGCCACGATGGCGGCAGCAGCGAGCCAGCTGCCAGCACTCCGGCCGCAGCAAGCAGTGTGCTGCGGCGGATCAGGGGAGAGCCTGAAGAGGCCTCCGTGGCTGAAGCAGTCGCGCAGAGTGACCTGGAGCGCCTGGGCGCGGCAGCACAGCGAGGCTGCCTGCACTGCGTCGCCGCCAGCGCAGGCACAACTGCAGGGCCAGCGGGAGGGCACATGTTGCCTCGTCGCTCGCGGCTGTCAGATATATCGAGTGTAAACGCATACAAACGTTCCAAGGAGGCTTGCAGAGGGGGCGCACTCACACTTGGAGCACACTTGGAGCATCGCGCACGGTTTGCTTCTCTTGGCTGCCGCTGCAGTGTAATATATACGCTTCGAGTAAGTGAACACAACATGCTTTGGTGAGCCTGACGCAAGAGGCTTGATGACAACTCTCGTCATGTGCGGGGTCCAGTCACGCCCAGCTGGCGCGACTGACTCTATTCATCCTACTGCAACTTGAATTGATCAGTGGAACCCGAGATTTTATTGTCTCTCCATATTATTTTACCTGAGGCAGCTCCCATTGCTTCCGCACAAGTTGCCTCTTGCCCGAGGCCTCCACCACACTGCGGTGATTCGGGCGCTTCGGGCACGGGTCCAGAACCGCCCGGTGATGCAGGCACAGGCCCACCTGCCTGCTTCGCCCCATGCTTGCACGGCGGAGGCCGGGAGCTTGTCGCTCAACACAGGGGGGGCGGTGGAGGGGGGGGGGGGGCATGTTATGCAACACTGAGCACCAGCCGCCCATCCTGCGTCCCCCACTCTACATGCTTCCACCAATTGGCAGCACGTCCCATCCATTGCTCAGACGCTGCCATTCACATTCGGCTTGATAGTTGTCGCTCCAGCTGCTGTCCGGCCGCACAGCCACTTGCGGCGGCGAGCGGCGGGGCCTCTTCTCCTCGACCCGCTCTGCACGCACTTGCTAAGCCTAGCGTGCTTGTCTTAGATGAATCACACTTATATGGGGCACTGCAATAGCGATAGCAAGAGGTGTCGGGAGCACGAAGGGCAAGTCCTCAAGCGGTGATCTACTGCATCTTGACACGGTACCCACTGGATGCCCAAAGAGCAGCCCGGTAAATTGTAGAAAGGGTTCTCTCGTCCACTCAGAGCCAGCTCAGCTGCCGGACAAACTCACCCCATCGCCGCTCCAAAACAACCGCCTCTCGTGCGATCAGAAGTTGCGTGTGTCCGCCTCCCGCACAGGTCGCTTCCTCAAACACCGTCCCACGCCTCTCTGACGCTTGCCAGTATGCTCAGCTGCGCTCAGCCGAGGCCCCTGGCGGCCGGGCGGCCCTCGGCCCAGCAGCGCCGCGCGGAGAGGTGTTTCCGAGTGGCCAGCTATCTGGAATCCAAGGGCACTGCAGCTGCCACGGCCCCGCCCCCTCCCAAGGTGCGGCTCCGAGCCCTGGACGGGTTGCCAGGCCGCCGCAGCTCCCCTGCGCCGGGTTTAGGCCGGGAGCGCCGCCGTGGTCGCCTCGCTGCGCCTGCCGCCGGCAGGCGGCGGCCTGCCAGCTGGGCCCCCAAGCAGCACCTGGCACCCGAGTTTTCTGCGCATGACGTTATCCGTATGCCAGCAGCAGCACTGCTGCCATCGGCAGCTTGGGCGCGCCACGTGCCTGCTCTCTCACCTCGCCCCGCCGCCCCCGCTGCTCTGCCCGCTCGCTTTGTGGCCTCTCCTCACCGTCCCGCCCTCCACCCCTCGTTCACCCGCAGGCCGCCAACCAGCTGGAGGCGCTGAAGCAGATGAGCAAGGTGGTGGCAGACACGGGAGAGATATGGGCCATCAAGCAGTACAAGCCCGTGGACTGCACCACCAACCCCAGGTGTGTGCTGGGCGGCTGCTCGCTGAGTTGGCCGGCTGGGGGACCACAAGACGAGGCAAGCTTGGGCAGGGGCCGGCTGGCGGGCAATGCATGCACGCCACCCCGCCGCCCTGCTCGCTCTCCCGGCCGCTCTCCTGCCGCTCCCCTCGCCCACCCACACCCACCCCTCAGCCAGGTGCTCGGCGCCGCAGTCCCTCTCACCCTCCGCCATGCCTCCCACCCCCCACCTCTTTCCCCTGGTGCAGCCTGGTGCTTAAGGCCATGAAGGACCCGGAGTATGCCCGCTTCCTGGATGATGCCGTGTACCAGGAGCGGCGGCGCGGCAACCCGCCGGGCCTCAGGTGGGGCGCGCAGGCGGGCAGGGGGGGTGGCAGCGGGTGGGGCGACCCAGAGGGCCCAGCTCGACAGGGGGTGGGCAGGGGGAGGGCAGCGCAGGCGGGTTAGCAAGGCAGGCAGGCTAGCGTGAGTTTACAGCCTGGTGCCAGCAGGAACAGCCTTGCAGCACAGGCTCTCAGGGCACCGGCAGGCCCGCCCGCAGCGGGCCGCGGCAGGCAGCAGCGAGGGGGCCAGGGCGCGGCCGCCTCCCAGCGCCGCTGCCGCGCTTCACCCGCCTCCCGCGCCCCCGCCCGTCCCGCCCCCACCTGTCCTGCGCCGCCCTGCAGGCCCCACTCCTTCATCGCCGACCAGCTGGCCGTCAACATCGGCACCGAGCTGCTGTCCATCGTGCCGGGCAGGGTGAGGGGGTGTGGTGTGTGTGTGTGTGTGCTGTGTGTGTATGTGCGCTGCGTGTGCATGTGCGCTGCGTGTGTGTGTACACCGTGCGTGGGGTATGTGTGCGGTTGCATTAGGTGTGGCTGTGGGTTGAGGGCAGCCTGCACACCGCTGCCACGCGGCGTGCCGGCTGGTGTCGGCTGCACCGCGTTGCTGGTGCACGCTGTACTGCTTCTGTACCGTTGACGTACCGCCGGCATACCGCTGATGTACCGCAGGTTTCCACAGAGGTGGACGCCCACCTGTCGTTCGACGCGCAGGTGCCCTCCCTGTCCCTGCCTCCACCCCTGCCTGCCTGCTTCCGCTTGCCGCCGCTGCGGCGGCTGCACGCCGGTGTGGCTGCCGCTCTGCCTGGCGCGGCTCGCCCACCCGCATGCACGCCTGCGCAAACAAACACACACGCACACCACACACACTCATGTCACCACACACACACACCTTCCTGGCACCCGCCCGTAGGCCACCTACGACAAGGCACTGCACCTGGTGGACCTGTATGTGGAGCGCGGCATCGACCCCAAGCGCCTCTACATCAAGGTGCGCCCCTGTTTGTGCGCGTGTGTGTGTGTGTGTGTGTGTGTGTGTAGTGTGTGTGTGTGCCCGCGCGTGTGTGTGTGCGCGTGGGTGTGGGTGTGTGTGTATGTGTGGGTGGGCGGTGTGTGGGACGTGTGTGGTGTGTGTAGGTGTGCGGATGTGCGCCGGTGGCTGACCCGGGCGGGGCGGCTCTGGGCTGCGCTGCTCCTGGCGCTCCCGTGTCCGGCCCAGCCCGGGCAGCGGCGGGCGGAGCTGAGCTGCTGCGTGCCCTTTGGCTTGGGCCGGCTTGGCGGCGGCCCCCCGGCTGCCAGCCGACGGATCCCTGGCAGCGGCCCCGCCCCGCCTTCTCTGCGCCGCCCCGAGCTCCCCGCCTTTACGCCGTTGTGCTGCCTCCCCCACAGATCGCCAGCACCTGGGACGGCATCCGCGCGTGCGAGATGCTGCAGCAGGAGGGCATCGACTGCAACATGACGCTGCTGTTCAGCTTTGCGCAGGTTGGGGGTGCAGGCAGGCGCCGCCGCCGCGCTGCCGCCGCCGCGCAGCGCCCGACTCCCCACCACCGCCCCGCCCCTCCTTGCCACTCCCCGCCTCCACCCCGACCCTCCTCGCCACTCCCGCCCACAGGCTGTGGCGTGCGCCGACGCCGGCGCCGCCCTCATCTCTCCCTTTGTGGGCCGCATCTTGGACTGGCACAAGAAGGAGCACAAGAGGATGTACACGCCTGAGGAGGTGGGCAGGGGGTGGGGGTGGAATACGGTGGGCTGGCCTGCGGTGGCGCGGCGGGCAGGCGGGTGCGGCAGCGCAAGGCGTCCCTCTCTGCGGTGGTGTGGCCTGCGCCATGCGGCTGCGCTCCCGAGGGCTGACGGGGTGGCGCCAAGGCTTGCCTGGGCTTCGGGCGCCCGGGGGCGCCCCAGGTGCCTTTCGTGTGCGCCTTCCGCCGCGCGTTGCTGGGCGTGTGGCGCAAGGGGCGTGCATGCGCCGCCGCCACCCACACCGCTCCCCTCCCTCCCCTCCGTGTCCGCCTGCCGTGCAGGACCCGGGCGTTGCCAGTGTGCGGCGCATCTACAGCTACTACAAGAAATACAACTACCCCACCATCGTCATGGCGGCGTCGTTCCGCAATGCGGGCGAGATCCGCCAGCTGGCGGGGTGAGCTCCACTTTATATAAGTATGGGGGCGGGGTGGCGGCGGGGAGGTGCGGGCTGAGCGGGGTGATGTGGGATCGGGAAAGGAGGTGCCCCACCCCCTCACCCCTCACATGCACAGGCACACACACATGCACTTCACCCTCACCCCCCCATCCCCACCCCCACCCTCACCCAGCTGCGACAACATCACCATCGCGCCGCCGCTGCTGGAGGAGCTGGAGGCGTGCACCGACCCGCTGCCCTACCAGCTCTGGCCCCGCATGGTTCGCCCGCCTGGCAGGCTGCAGCAGCAGCAACCCGCGTGGCAGGCAGCAGCAGCCCACGTGGCAGGCAGCAGCAGCCGGCCGCAGGCAGCGGGACCAGCCACAGCGCATGCACTCCCCGCCCGCCAGGCGCCTCAGCGCCTCCACCCACCACGGCCACAAGGAGGTCCTCCTTCGCCCGGCACCCTGCCCTCCACCCATGCCGCCGCCCTCTCCCTCTCCCTTTCCCGCCTCCCTGCAGGGCGGCTGCGAGGACGACCACATCCGAATGGACTTCTTCGCAAAGGAGACCTTTGACGCCATGCACGGCGCCGACAGGTGCGGCGCCCGGGCCCGGGCCCGGCCTCGGAGCGGGTGCCGTGATGTAGGGCATGGGCGCGGCGATGGGGGCGCCGGCCATGCTCGCTCGCCTGGGGGTTTGCTGGGTCGGCAGCACCGCCGCGTTCCTGCACACCGCACGGCACCGCACCACACTGCGCCGCACCACACCACGCCACGCCACGCCACACCACACCACACCACACTACAGCACAGCACACCCACACCACACCACTCTGGTCAGCGAAGCATTGAAGGCTGTCCCTGCTGCCTGCCTGTACCGCCCCGCAGGATGGCGGTGGACAAGCTGCAGGAGGGGATCGACAACTTTGCGGGTGGGGTGGCAGGCAGGGGTGGGGTGGCAGAAACAGCGGTCGGGAACTTTGCGGGGTGTGGTGCGGTGGTGGGGTTGGCTGTGGGACCTGTGAGGCAAGCACTGGCCAAGGAGCTGCCCGCGCGCTGGCATGCCTGCAAACCTGCATCGGTCTGCATCGCCATCAGAGGCAGCGGCAGATTGCCGGGCAGACTAATCGTATGGTGGAGCTCACCGCGCTGCCGCTGCCGCCGTGCCTCTGCCCCGCCTGCTTGTGCAGCCGATCAGCTGAAGCTGGAGGAGCTGATTGCGGCCACGCTGGAGAAGAAAGAATAGGCGCAGCTGTAGAAGAAAGAATAGGGGCAGCCGCGAGACGCCTCGCGTCTCGAGCCTTGCTCTCCGAGGAAGCAGCGCCGGAGCAGCACGCGCCTCGTTGCCCGATGCTGGGAACACTGCTCGTGCCGGTGGGCCCGAGTGAAACGCCGCCTGCTGACCAAACAGGCGCCGAGACGGAAGCAACCCCACGCCAACGAATGCCGCCACCTAACCCACAACGACACTGACGATGCCAGCCCTCCTCCTTCAAGCTAGTGCCCAGCGAGCCGTGTTGTGACTCCACGACGATTCATTGCTGCTTTATGCCACGCCCCTGCCGGGGCTGCGCCCTTGCATGCGGTGTGCATGCCGTGCCCCCTCACCTGCGCATGCACTGTTGCATGCTTGCCCCCTACGTACATACGCATTTGCCCCTTGTTCCGCTTTGCCTGTTCTGTTGACATCACCTCGTGCTCGCTCTCACTTTTCCTCTGCGCCGCGCACGTGGCGCCTTCTGCCGATACCGCCCGCCACCCTGCAACACGCTGCACCTGCCCTCAGCGCATTCCGCCTGCATGTGCATGCCTGCATGTTTATCTACTACTCTCAGCGACGCCTGTAATAGCGGCACATCCTTTGCACCAGCCTGCTGTAGAGCGGCATGCTGCAGTGGGACAACGTGGCGGCGCAGCGTGGCGGCGGCCAGCCACTGTACGCAGATAGGTTTGTGGCCATATTAATCGCAACATGGCAAGTCTAGATGGCCAGATTCAGCACCTGCTGGCCTCACCGCCGGCCCTGCTGCAGCGGGAGCGCTATGCCAAGGTGCGGCATGCGGGGGAATGTGTCCTTTGCGGAGCTGGACGAGGACAGGGCACGTCGCCATCGCATCTGGGACCTGCAGGGAGGGCTGCGCAGTGCCTCGCCTGCCGCCGCCCTGCCGCTGCCCTGCTGCCGCCGCCGCTCCTCGCCAGCCCGACGTCTGTGCTGTTGACCTGCCTCCTCTGGCCCCTGCAGCTGACAGCTGGGATGGGCCTGGAGGTCCGGCTGGATGCCGGCGGCGGCAAGGGCAAGGGCGTGTTTGCCACGAAGGTGGGTGGGTGGGGAGCAGCTGGGTCGCCGTCCCGTGGCACTGGTCAAATTGCGCCTGCGAGCACCGTCTCCCTCTGCTCCTTCCGGCTTGTTTTCTGTTTGCCCAAGCAGCTGCCCAGAGATAGACTGGGAAACCTTCTTCACCCTCCTAGCTGCAGGGCTTTGGTGGCGGGGCGTTGCTGTTCCGGGAGCCGCCGCTGGCCTTCATGCAGCACACCGCCAACCGCCCGCAGGCCTGGGTGTGCGCCCGCTGCTTCTGCTTCATCGGAAGCGTTGAGCAGCAGGTGGCGCGGCTGATCATGACAGGTCGGTTTCAGCCTCGTCTGCTGCTGCCGCTGCCGCCACCCGCTTTCCCCTGGGCTTGCCGTCCGCGACTCTCTTCGCCCGCCTGCCCAGCCCACACACGCAAACACACAGCAGCCCTCACCACCCTCCTTGCTGTGTGCCACGCCGCTCCTGCGCTGTGCAGTGCGGGAGGGGGCTGAGTCGGGGAGCGAGGACGCCTCCGCCAGCAGCAGCAGCGACAGCGGCAGCGGCGGCGGCGGCGGCGGGCACAGCATGCACCGGGAGGCCGCGGCGGCGCTGCGGGAGGAGCAGCTGGAGGGGCTGGCCGCAGGCGCCCTGAAGCTGCCACACACCGAGGCGGTACCGCTGCCGACGCCTGTGAGCTGCCCGCCCTGGGGAGCCCCTCGGCGCCCTCTCAATGCATGCGCTGCGCTGCGCACCTTGCCGCAGGGCTCCCCAGCAGTATGCAGGCGATGCAGGCGCGGCACTGCATTGCAACCATGCAGGGTGCCTGCCGTGCACCGCCGTGCACCGCCACGCCCCCACCCGGCGCTGTGGCCCCGCGCTGCACCTGCAGGCGCGCTGCCCTGGGGGCTGCTTGGAGGAGTGGTACTGCAGCGACTCGTGTGCGGAAGCTGCCTGGCAGCTGTACCACCAGCTGCTGTGTGTGGGCCCGGAGGAAGATGACCAACAGGACGAGTCAGGCAGCAGTAGCAACCCCGGCAAGGCCCCGGCAGCGGCAGCAGCAGAGACAGGCGAGACGCAGCAGGAGGAGCGGCGGCGGCAGCTGGCGCTGCGGGAGTTTCTTGAGCATGCCGACGAAACAAACGACGTGTTTAGGCTGGCCGCCAATGCTGTGGCGCAGGTGCTGGTGGCCGCACAGCAGCAGCTGGGCTCGCAGCAGCAGCACCGTAACGGCAGCGGCAGCGGCGACGGAAGCAGCGGCAGCAGCAGCGGCGGCGAGCCCGGCAGGGACGCCTGCTGGCAGGCGCTGCTGGCGGGGTGGCAGCCGTTTGCGGCGGGGCACAAGGGGCTGTGGTGGGAGTGCACCGCCGCTCCGCCAGAGGCGGCCGCAGGTGGGCGGGGCTTCTGATGAGTGCAGGGACGAGTGCAGGGACGAGTCGCAGCCTGAGCTGTCGATGCTGCAAGCTTGTATGTTGCTTGTTTTTTTATGCCGCTCTGCCCCATCCAGTATGGACATCGGGACCGTGCCAGCCTCGCTAACTTAGCCGTCTGCGCTTCCCTTCTTCCCACTTCCTGCATTCATTTCTTCCTTCCACGCAGACATGCGCCAGCTGGCGGAAGACTCGCTGGAGCTGCTGGTGGCGGCGCTGCCGCCCCACCTGCCGCGCCGCTTCCCCGCCCTGCTCTCCCTGCCCATCTGGGGCTCCATCATCGGTCAGCGAAAGCGGGGCGGCTGCCTGTGGCTGCTTGCTTATGGACACCCCTGCCCGGCTTGCGGCAAGGGTGCCTCGCCGCTGTACCACGCTGTACCGCAATCAGCCACGGCCTGCCCACCCATGCACCGCCGCCGCACAACCATGGTGCACAAGCCGCCACCTTGCCCCACACCGCAGCACGCCCCGCTGCGCCGCAGGCATGTTTGAGCTGAACAACCTTGGAGTGTTTGTGGCCTCCCCGCTCCAGCGCTGGCTGCACCACCTGGATGCCCTGCCGGCGGGCGAGCAGGCGGCGGCGTTCCAGGCGGCAGGTGGGCCAGGAGGGAGCTCCAGGTGGCAGGACGCTTAGCAACTGGATGCCAAGCCGCATCTTCCTGCCTTGTTGGTCTGGCTCGGCAGCTGCTGCCCATACTGCCGCCGCCGTGGCTCCCCGGCGCCGCCTCCTGCAGGCCCCTTTGTCGACGCCCTCCCCGACGAGCTGCCCGGCTGCGAGGGGAACGCCTTTTACGCGCTGCACAGGTGTGCGGCAGCGCCGTCCTGCTGTGCGTGGTGCATGCCTGCCCTGTCTGACCTTCCCGCACCCTGACACCCAGCAACGCTGCTCATGCCCACGCCTCGCCCCCTCCTTGTGAGGGCTTACAGCAGTCTGGTTTCAGCAAGAACAAGCTTTCAGCACAGACTTTGGTGTATGGGCAGGGAGGGATGCTGCATCGACGTGCCCTGCATCGATTCTCCCTCCCCGCCTCGCCTGCCGCAGCTGCTTCAACCACAGCTGCGACCCCAATGCCGAGGCGTTCAAGCGGGACGAGGACGAGGATGGCGGCGGTGAGGCGTGCCGCACCGTGCCTCCGGGCCAGAACCCCTGGCTACACCCCTGGCAGCCTGCTCGCCCTGCTCTGCCTCCATCGCCCATGCCTGCATCCGGACCTGCCTCCAGAGTAGATTCTGCTCCAACCTGCACCATCCTGTGAGGCCCATGCGGCTTCTGGCAGCACACCTGCCTGGCCAGCGCGCTGCCTGCGGCTTCCCACGCTGTGCCCTCCCGCCTCCCATGCCGTGCCCCCCTGCAGCCGTGATCCTGGCGCTGCGCGACATCCAGGCGGGAGAGGAGGTCACGCTCTCGTACATAGGTGCGCGCGCTGCCGCGCCTGCTTCTAAGCCGTGCGCCCGCTGGCCCGCACCTGCGCTGCACAGCAGGCTGACAGCTGCCGCGCCTGGCATGCGCTGCTTCCCCGGGCAGATGAGGAGGCACCCCTGGAGGAGCGGCGGCAGCAGCTGGCTGACTACGGCTTCCGGTGCGCCTGCGACAAGTGCCAGGCTGAGGAGCTGGCGGAGGCGCTGCAGCTGGAGTAGGCAGGACAGGGAGGAGAGGAGAGGAGAGCATAGGAGAGCTGCCCCGGGCGGACTGCGCGGCATGCTGCCGGCACGCCGATCGCATGCCGTGTGCTGGCGGCGCCTGGGGCTTCCATCTGCTCAGTGCGGAGCTTGGAATGTGTTTGCAAGGTGCAAGGTGGGAAAACTGGTGGAAGCCGAAGATAAGGATACCGAACAAATAAGCGGGAATGAAACGTGGGAAAAGCAAGGAACAACAAGCAGGGTTCAGCTCCGAAGGGTGCAGTGCTCTTCAGCCGGCTCTCGATCAAGGGTTGGGTTTCGGCTCTTCTCTGGAAGCCACGCAGGCGTTGGGAAACCAGCAAGGCTGCGCCGCCCAGGCAGGAAAATCGGCAGCGCGCGCAATCGTCTGCCCACTCCAGGCCACCCCAGGGCGGCGCAGCTTCTGGGGCGCGGCGGCTGGGCACGGAGGCAGCTCACGCAAAGCCCTTGGGGGCGGCCGCAGGCTCCTCCACCTTGCTGCCGCCGCCGCCGCCGCCGCTGGTGGGGCTGCGCCCCGTCAGCTCGTCCCTCCTAGCCAGAATGTAGGCTTCCATCTCCTTGAACCTTCAGAAGCCAGGCGGGCGGGGAGGCGGCAGTGGGGCGGCGCAGACAATGAGCTGCCAACCCCGCTCCGGCACGTGGTGGCATAGCCACCGCGGCGGCGGCACCGGGCACCCCACCGGCACACGCCGCGGCTCCGC